TTTTTAAAAATGCAAAAAGACCATGGTAATTGGAATTACTGAAGGGCAAATAGCCACAGAGAGGGATAAAAATAGGTTGGTAAAATTGGTTTGGTGCAAACTGTGAGGTAAGCACGTTGACAGAATAATGAAACTGACGAAAATTAGTGTAACATATAAATGACACAATAAAGAGAATATCAGACAAGACGAACTCTTAAAAACAATTTGGCTCTCCTTAATTTAAAAAAAATATAGAATTACTCTTGCAATATAATTAAGAAGATGTTTTTTTTTATGGGAGCTTTTTTCTCATTTTTGAAATTGATGGGAAGTTTTTTATAGCTCCCACACCATTTCGTAAACGTGAAGGACCGAATCTATATGCATTAAGTTTTAATCAAAATTATTGCTTGTTTACAAATTAGTTTAACTTGTGTTCCAAGGGTGATTATTTCTAAGAATAAATTTATAATTGAAGGAAAACGAACTTGTCTGCTCAACGTTTGTGTTCTGTACATTTTCATTTCAGTATCTAAATGCAATTAAAACCATTTAGCTGGGTTGAATCTTGTCGGGTAGAAATACCTATTTGTACCGGAGACAGAGAGAAAACTGAAGTGTAACATCCACCCAACACAAACCAAATCATTTCAAGATTAACATATAGTCATGTCAATAATTAGAAGTCGTGCAGCGGTCTTTACAAGTGAGAGGAGTGGAGCAGAAGGTCTGTCATTGAGTCAAGTGGCGAGGTTTCGATTCCCCACTCGTACGTGACAAGGAGCAGAGTTGCCTGTCCCAATCTTGTGGGGTTTTTCTGGGTACTCTAGTGTCCTTCAACTGGTAAAGACCCTACCCGCAAGCGAATTAATGAAGTAAAATTGAATCATGTGTTAGTTATGTGTCAAGTGGATGTTAAGCCCCATTTCTTTCTGGTGAACTGGTGAAAAGCCACAAGGTTTGGTAAAAGACCCTTGGCATCCAAACACTTGACTCAACGACAGACCTCAGGATCCAAAGTGTATTTTGAGACCATGCAACCACCCAATCCTTTTTGTACATGTACCTACCTTATCACATCCGCTAGCTGTGAGCGGTTCTTGTAGGGTATAGATATCTTTTTGACGAGCACCAATTGCCAGAAAACTGTATGAGCCTCTTGTATACGGGTTATTACCCCACCGGGTCCTGAAATATATACAAACAATACACAGTGTATATAACAAACAATACACAGTATAATATACAAACAATACACAGTATAATATACAAACAATACACAGTGTAATATACAAACAATACACAGTGTAATATACAAACAATACACAGTGTAATATACAGACAATACACAGTATAATATACAAACAATACACAGTATAATATACAAACAATACACAGTATAATATACAAAAAATACACATATGTAGGTCCATGTATCAATTATTGAGTAGGCAACAGTTTCAACAAATTCTCCCTACTGTAATTTTGCAAAAAAACAGTACAGGTATTCAGGCCTGGAAATATTAGTTTGACTTGAACCCAATGTTTTTACTGTGTTGTACTATCAATAAAGATAGGTTGCCAGGCTCACAGCAGCTAAGTTGTCCGGGAAGTCAACAAGGGTTGTCGCATGAGTAGGGCGGCCACAAGAATTTTCGAAGTAATCAAGGGCCATAACTCTGGCAGAAATTGTTGAGAATCAATAGGATTCTTTTTCTCATGATCATCAACATTGTGTCAATTTAAAGTCAATCCGATATTAACTTTAGCCTCCAGAAAGTCCACAAGAATTTTTTAAAGTGATCAAGGGCTATAACTCTGGCAATAATTATTGGAAATCATCAAAAATCAATAGGCTTCTCATCAATGTGTATAAATTTCAAGTCAATCAGATATTACCATTAGCCTGTAGAGAATCCAGAAGTGAGAGAGAGAGAAATGGGGTTTAACATCCACTTGACACAAACTAGGTCATTTTGGGACTAACATATGGTTCAATTTTATTTCAATAATTCATGTAGGGGTCTTTAGCAGTGGAAGGAAACCAGAGGACTTGGAGAATACCCATGAGGTTGGGCAGGTGACGATACTCTTCATCATGTAAATATCACAACAAATAAAAGAGAAATGTCTTCTTACCTGATTACACGTTTTGGAAGAGGAATGTCGTTTCTGTTGAGGAATTTACGTAAAAGATCTCGACAATCTTCTGCTATTTGATCTTCTGTCAATGACTCCATGTACAACGCTTCTTTACCAGACAACCAACCTAAAAAACAATAATAATAGGTCATTTCGGGACTAACACATTTTATTTCTATAATTTAGTTGCAAGTAGTGGTATTTAGCAATGGGAGGAAACTGGAAGACACAGAGAAAACCCACACGATTGGACATTTACCGTTATGATTTTTTTTATTTTATACACATGCTGACAGAGGTTCAATTTTAAACTTTTTTATCTCAATTTCAGTTATGGTTGTCACATGATCATTGTGCTGTTTGACTATCATTGACAAATGATTAAAAACTTTTGCAAGTTACATGATGGACAAAAGACTTCAGATTGTGATATGAAGAAATGCCACATCGTGCGGTATCAGCTTATTCAGCATTTTCTGATACTGGCAATAAACAATAAACACAATTTTGTTTTTTAGGCAGCATTATTAATTAAGATTCGGATGATTCGCGCAGATTCCATATATGAGAATCCTCTTAGATTCTTGCAAAAAATGACAAATTTCTAGCCCTGTTACTTCTGGGAATTGCAACCATGCTACTCGACTGAATGACAGACGTTATTATGATCTAACCATTCGACCAGCCATCCCCCTCTACATACATATACATACATACGTAGCATTTGGCAACCAATCAAAATATACGGCATGACCAGAACATAGATCCTAAATACTGTACCAACCAGAATTTAAATCAAGATAGTGGAAACAGTTGTTGGATGGACAGACAGATAGAATCTCATTTCCTTAACAATATGGTCAACTTGCCTAGTGTCTGATATGAAGAAAGGCCTTCCTATTCTACTCATGGGGTCTCTCCAAGATGACAGTGTGTTTTAAACACAACTGAACAAAGCTGGAGTGATGGCTGATGATGGGTGTTTAAGAATACAGTATTAGAAAGGCTTATGACAGTGTCAAAAATATTAGACACCTTGGCCGTAGGCCCCTGTTTAACTTGAAGCCCTAGACCTCAGTCTAACAACCCTATACCGGGTAGGTAAATCAGCACAGAACCGTTTCTGCTGCCACCCATTTGACTGATAATTTTTAGCAAGGTAATGATAACATTGAATTCAATCAATTGATAGAATATTTAAAGATGGTAATTGATAAATGTAATCAACAGTCATTAATAATTAGTGAAAACAAACATTAAACTTTTAACAAATTGATATCATTTCTCCCACATGATGATCTTATCAAACAAAATCTGATTTTATTAATGGGTAAATGGCCATGTGTTATTCCATAATGGCTAGAGTGGAAGTGTCAGTCTAATTGTGAATATATATACTCGATAAACCTGGGAACCATACAGTTCATGTAAAGTTGAGTTTCAGAGAGAGATCTCTAATTGCTGTTAAAAAGCTATTGTGTAGCCATTATTATGATTCAAATACAAGTGCTGTCAATAAGCTAGCCATTATTATTATTATATAACACATGGTCATATCATATGAAATAGTTAAATGGTTGTTACCAGGTGTATATTAATGACTATTTCAGATACATGATCTATTATAATGATTAACAGAGGTTAGTTTATCTGGTTGGATTTTAAACAAAACACTGTGGTTAGGAATAGGACTGATTCAGAATACATGTAATATCTAGAGATGCAAATCTTGTTTAGAATTGAGACTCAATCAATGTAAACACACCACTGTTATAGTCAGTGGAACTGACATAAGATGGGAGAATGATATTTATGATCTCGTAAACACACTAAAAATATACTCTCTCAAACACTAATTGTACATGTAAATGTAATTAAAGACGACATGAGTACGAGAGCGACTGGAAGCAACGAAAGTGGAGGAGAATCCCACAAGTATGTTACATGTCATGTACCGTAGTTATTATACTGTAGGCCTTTACAGTAACAACAGATGCGGGGGAAATAGGCCTACAACATTAACAGCAAATGTTGACAAATGGGCCTGCCACAGTAACAACAAGTGTGGAGAGAGAGAAAGAGGAATGGGGTTTAAAGTCCACTCAAAACAAACTAGGTCATACCGAGACTAACATGGTTCAAATTTATTTCAATAATTTGCTTGTGCGCAGGGGTCTTTAGCACAGCAGGGGTCTTTAGCAGTGGGAGGAAACTGAAGGACCTGGAGAAAACCCACGAGGTTGGACAGACGACCCTACTCCTTGTCATGTGCACCGTGGAAGCGACACTACAGCTGATTCAACACACAGCTGCTAACCATTCGGCCACCCAACCCCCTATGTGGACAAATGAGCCTATCACAAAAACAACAGATGTGGAAAATGGGCCTACCACATTTATAACGACATATGTGGCACAATGGGCCTACCACAGTAATAACAGATACAGTGGAGAATTGGGTATACCATGGTAACAACAGACGTAGAGAAAACACTTACCGACTAGAATGTTTTCATGTACAACTTCGAATGAGTATATTTTCCTCATCCACGTATATCTCAAATCCTTCTCCTTCACATTATCCCTATCCCATAATAGTTCAATCCTGAAAACATCAGAATCAACGACCGTCTGGTCGAACTCTAATATCACTTTATCCACGATACCGAAGCCGAGAGATTGGATAGCTTGTTGTTTGTCTTTAGGTAACGGGGGGTAAAACATGCGATCACACGCCGCCTTTAAGACGCCAATCGACACAGTACATATGACGTGATTTGCATAGAATTTTTCACCATTTTCACACTCGACGCAAACTTCTTCACTTTTGTTATTTTCCGAAGGGGACCAATTAATTGTTTTAACAGGTTTGTTAAGCAAGATATTTTCTTCCGGAATATTTTTTTTAAGGATTTCTAAAATGGCTTCGAAACCAGGAGGAATAGTATAATGGACGCCGGGTAGTTCTTCGTAACATCCAAACTCCTCTAACGACACATCTGACATGTTATCACATCCAGTAATACAACACTCCAACAGTATTCTCTGATCGAAGACCATCTGACGGAAACGACGATCACCGTTTGAGTACTTATCCAATTTTTCTTGAAATTCTCGTTCGAGATGAGCACCGACACTATCTCCTTCCTCCGGCGTAGGCATGCTAGAATGAAAGTAATCTTCGCACTCTGCGATTAACATTCCATAAGAGAAATCCACCTCTTTAACCATCTTATCGCCAACTATATCTCCCGATTCTGTGGCATGTAGATCTCGTCTACGTAGATTTCTATTTGCGTGTCGCAGCTCTAACAGATGATTTTGATCGGCTATTTGGTATATTGGATTTCTCTCGATGCCATGGATCCAATTGGCTCCCATTTCCGCTTTATGTCCATCATCATCTGCAAAATAAAATCAAATTTAAAATAAAGCCTTCGTCAAGCAAAAAATTACGTGTTGCTAGGCGACAAAGATTAGCATTTAAATGGTGGGGTTCAAGGTTAATAAAACTTTCAAAATTTCAATATTGTTCAATCTTTAAAAGTCCAAATCAGTCACTAATGGTTTATCTCTGTTCAGTATTTAGAAAGGTACATGTACATGTAGAAGGTACGATGAATTGAAGATTCCTCAACATTCAGCATTTTCTGCAGATGATAAAAACAGGATGTGTTCAAAATGGACATAAACCAATACAGCCAAGATTCCTTAAAGGGCTAATCTCGACTATGTATATTTTTGAGAATGAAACTGCTTAATTTTGTGTTAAAAAAAGCCCTTAAAATCTTCTACCTTAGGGCCAAGCAATTAACTCAATATATACATGATACGTTTTCAACTAACTTAAACCCGTCAGTCTTCATCTGGAAATGGAGACCTGTGTCCCAAGCTGTATTATATGGTGTCTGGATAAAACCAGACTTTTATTTTATAAAAATAACGTGCAGGTGAAATGAACCTTTTGTTATCATGTAAAGCATGCGAGTCTTATACTGTATAGACCTCTAAAGTAACGGCAATAGATTATCAGGTCACCCAACGAAAAAATTGACCCAAAATCTTAAAAGGGTTATGTGTCCGGATCAGCGGTTTTGACGTTCACGTCCAAACGACACAATATTTTGAGCAGAAATTTTGAGACAAGGTAAATACACCATTCCTCTATTTTGGCGTTTAAATTTCCTACATACATGCACACAGACTTTTATTTCTGAAACTCTGTTAAAATCGGGTTGATCCCTTTAACTTTTAAGTCAAAATGGCCAAAACTGTGGTCAAAGTCAAAATAGGTCTAAATTATACTGGATTCTTAATAAAGATCAAATCGACCATTTTGATCTATTTATAGTCGTTCTGACCAAAAGTTAAGTCCCTTTTTTTACCGAATGTCTGGGCCCTTTGGTTTCAGACTCTTTTGTCTGAACATAAATAAATTTTGCTGAGCCTTTTTCATGGCTGGGATCTCATCTACTGCTGATTTTGTTTTCTAAATTAAATGTCAAATAATCTGAGTACATTTTACTTTCACCATGGACTAAGCCATGAGATTTTTTGTATTTTTCAAAAAAAAATCAAAATGACAAACAGTACAACGTATATATACAATAAGTCATATTTTGTGCCTGACTAAGTCTGACAGGTAGCTGATGTCCAGGCTTGGCTTTAAGAACGAAATGAAAATAAAAATATGTAATACATTTAGGGACTGCGTAAAGTAGAAGAATAAATAAGTCTAGTGTTATACCTACTTGGTATGTGTAATTGTGTAGTACCATACTGATATAGTGTATAATAAAGACTACATAGTGTCTAATACTTGTAATACCGGTATATAGAATGTGTATTAGGTTTATAATTGTGTAATACCTGTAGAATGTGTATAAAGTTATAATTGTGTAATATCCATATAGAATGTTTATGTGGTTATAATTGTGTAATACCAGTATATATGTGTATGTGCAGAAGTTATAAGTATAAAGACTACATAGCGTAGTACATGTGATATGAATAATGTGTAGCAGTAGAAAGGCAGACAGCCAATGTTTGTAAATCAAGCTAACATTCCAATGTAAAAATGCTTATTTGACAGAATGTTCTCTCGATGTTACACTACATATTGGTATAGGTTTACTTATTGTGGTGTTTTAACACGACTATATATATAGGCCTACATATTCAATATTATATATAATAGGCCTCTATTGTTATGGGATATATAAAAGAATAACTCGCTATAAAAGAATAACTCGCTATAAAAGAATAACTCGCTATAAAAGTCTAGTCAGTCAGTTTGTAGCCTACTGGTAGAAAATAAAAATAACACCTTTCTACCGTCCTGCCTGAAACAGGTTCTTTTCTCAAAATAAATTCTAATTCTTCAAAAAGCTAAATCTGCCTATTACAGGTTCTTTTGCCTTCAAATATAAATTATTAATTAGACGTTTATTCACACGACAAGCCTAATTCCAACTCTCTAGATCATCGTATTGTGAAGAATTAAAGGGATTGAAACACAATCGCTATTTAATAATTTAATTTAACAATGGATAATGGAGACTTCATCCATTATCATAACAGCAGTAGCAATAAAAATTGTGACTCCGCTATTCTTGAAACCGTCATACCTTTGAATCTGAGACCTCCAGACTACAGAGTCATTGGGACTCCCATTATCAAATAGAGAACAACTAAATGGAGATATAAATATATGTATGTATATGTACAAGAAATGTTTTGATCTGAAGGATCTCAAGAAGAAAAGAGGGAATGGTCGTTACTCTCTGGTTCAAAAATCTGTTGACATAGGGTAATTTCCATCTCAAAGCTTGTATGTGACCAGGATTGAATATAGAGTCACCTGCCTAATCCCCAAAAAGGTTTATTCTTCTCCTACCTTCTACTGTTAAAAATGATTTGATACCAATATGTCAGTCCCAAAATAACCTAGTTTTGTGTTGAGTGGATGTTAAACCCCATGACTTTCTATATCTTTATTTTAAACCAATGGCAAGGATAATAATTCTTGTTTTAGATTTGAAATCTAGTGCCACCACAGTTTTATCTATACCTAGAGTATTATTTATTTATACACCCCGAGTATTATTTATTGGCCTATAACAGTAAGTCCAGTTTATGTTGACCTAAAAAACGATGAGAGATATTTAGGTCTGGACTCTGTAACGAGATCATGTTGACCTACTAATACACATTACAAATCATACGGAGTCAGTTGAAGACTAATGTCTATCCCTCTACAGGTGAATTCCTCAAGCTCTGGTAACATTAGCCTATTAATTATATATCCCTCAGCTAGAGAAAGAGGGTGGGAAGGGGGAGAGAGAGAGAAATGGGGTTTACCTACACTTGATGGGACTAACATATGGTTCAATTTTATTTAAATAATCAACTTGCGCTTAGGGATCTTTACATGCAGGTGGAAGACCCAGAGAAAACCCACAAGGTTGTACAGGTGGCCCTCACTACACGCTGACACATGAATCAAATCCATGCCAGCTGACACAATGACAAACCTTAAATCATTCGGCAACGCAACCCAAAACAGCTCACAATTTACCCCTTAACATTACAAATTTTAAGCATAGTTAAATTCTTTCAAGTGTAACGGGTCAGACATAAGCATGTGATGTCCTACCGAGTACCAATCCTATTTGGCCCACTGAAGTCAGGTGGTCTTGACATGGTGCCAAGCACAGCACGGTTAAATTTTCATAGTGTAAACGCTATTCGGTCTGAGCATGGTTTCAGTGTGGATTACTATGCATGAGTCAAATGAACCTTGACCTTTTTTTCACACGAAGTTTGACAGTTCTGTCATCAGTTCTGTCAAAATGGCTGCTTAAAACTGAATCCACCACCAAAACTGTTTTCATCTGGGTAATTTGCATAGGGACTGAAATTAACTTTTTAAAGAAGAGTTCCACATTTGGAGTGCCTGGCACAGTTCCGAGACCAGTTATTTTAGAGTAATGTAAATGGGTCAATTCCATGAAATTTATCGAGGCCTGGTACCGTGTCTAAAACAGCAAGCTTATCGTGGCAAAGTGTAAACAGGGCTATAGCAGATAACTTGTCATTCAGATGGGACAAAAAAAACAAAAACCCATGAACACTTTCTTTAAATAGTAAATAATAATTCATTGTCTATTCATGTTATTTAAAGATACATTATGTAAGATTTAGATAAAGAACTAGTCATTCTTGCTATAATAGTTCGAAAGTAGATGATGTAAAATGAATAATTTGAAAATTTCATTCAAATTACTCTATTGCAAGCGAAGATATTAGCCTTTGAAGGTTTGACAGACGTGTGCAATAATTTCAACCACCGTACTGGTTGATCGAAGCCAAGTCTCGGTCCTCCATATTTGATTAAATCAAAGTATCGCTGAACCATTCTAATCTATTTAATATCGGAGAAATCTGATGCCATCGAGAGTTGATTAAGGCCTGGATCAGTTAATTAATATCTAATTAATACTTTAGAAAACATTTCAGGCCTAAAGCAAGACCTGCAATAGGCAGATTTAGCTCTTGCATAATGCATGTTTGAAGGGCTTAATGATTCCCTGGAAAACTATGATAACTAGGCCTAGTAATATGGATATTAAGTCCCTAAAAGGAATATCACTTATATCAGTCCAACAAAATAGGTTCAATTTTTGTTTTTTTACAAAGATACGAAAAATTGAAAATTCAGATGATATAAACAGGACATGGTCAAAAGATTTTTTTCACTAAAATTTCTTGATAGGCCTCTTTCAAATCTAAGGCAGGAAGTTACATGTTCTACCTAGATTATTATTTCTTCTTTAAAGGACAATATTGGTGTCAGTCATTATCACATGATAGAACTGGTTAAACACTTTCCAAATATAATTTTAACACAGAGATCATTGTTACGATATGATGATTTCAAGAAACGGAAGTGACGAAAGAAAAACACGAGTTATCCTTCTATATAACTGACTGAAGTAATGAGAGATCACGGACAACGGGCGAATTTCTGCTCACTAATAATTCTTTCGAAGACCAAAAGTTGTTATGAGACTGTGGGCGGATATTTGAAATCTTCGTTACGCATCTATCGTAGCAATGATCTCTGTGTTAAAATTATATTTGGAATGTGTTTAACCAGTTCTATCATGTGATAATGACTGACACCAATATTGCCCTTTACATGTAAATGTTATATTTATAAACCGACACCAATATTGTCCTTTAAATATTATATTTATAGACTGACATCAATATTGTCCTTTAAATGTTACATGTATATTTATAGACCGACACCAATATTGTCCTTTAAATGTTATATTTTTATACTAGAGACTCATCTGTTAATAAATTGTAGTTTGTAAGTGATTCTATAAAGTTAAAATCATGCATCATGACTTTTTAGACTTGATATTCCTACAGTCCTACTACAACATCGTACAGTAGCTGCAAGTGATTCTATAGCGCTAAAATTTTGCATTAAGACGTTAAAACCATGGAAAAGTTGATATTTTCTCAAAAATGCATATTTCACACAGAGAATTTACAAGACATATGTACAATCTACTATTACTTACAAGTTACAGATTCAACATAAATGTATGTAATGTACATAATGTTACTTATAGAGTCAAACAGTAAAATCGGTATTTCATGTGACATCTGCTAATTTAATATACAGTACACTTATTTGATTGGTCTATTAAATCTCAAATATAGTTTAATTTTCAATAAATATCAATAATGTATGATTTTAAAAATAACCAAACTCGAAACTATTTATGATATGTATGTACATCTATTTATTTATCGATAATCAAACTATTTATTTATTGATAATTAAAACAAACAATGACCTACTTAAGACTTTATTATAGTTTTCACAAGTGTTCATTAAACTCCTTAACAAGTGGTTGCCATGCAAGATACGCCCACATTTTACAAGAGATGGACAGAGAACAAGCTAAAAAAAGTGATTTTACAAACAATAAGGGGCCATAATCCAGGAAGTTATGATCAGGTACATGTATGCACGAGTGTCGAAAGAAACCCACATCTTTAGGATATAACGGAATACTGTATATTCTAAGTTTCATCAAAATCGCATAAAAATTGGGACCTCTAGAGGGTCCAGAACCTTGGTATTACAGGTATACTTTTACACTATAGTTTGTGTTTAGGGAGCAGGGAGCAACCATTTTGTCTGGAAGTTTCAGTCTGATTTTCACGAAATTCTAATTCAACTGCCATTAGGGTGTAACATTGATAAATTAAAGGTTATTTTTAAAATCAGATAAAAATCATGACCTCTAAGAGGGACCCCATGCTAAAAACATGATTTTCCATACAATCAGGGGCCATAATCCAGGAAATTACAGTCCATGAGCAAATACATGTATCAAAAGGATCTGAGATCTTTGGGATATAATCATATATTTTAATTTTCATCAAAATCAGACACAAAATGTGACCTCTAGAGGATCAACAACTGTGGTATTAGGCCCTACATACTTTTAAACTATTGGCTTACATGGAACTTCATGGTGTAATGTGACTTGCTATGCAAGAATACCGAAAGGAAAAGACATATTTGGGATATAAAGAGAGAGAATTATGGGTTTTAACGTCCACTCGACACAAACTAGGTCATTTCAGGACTAACATATGGTTCAATTTTATTTCAATAATTCACTTGTGCGTAAGCGTCTTTAGCAGTTGGAGGAAACCGGAGGACCCAGAGAAAACCTTTAGATTTAGAGGGTCCACAACCTTGGTATAATTTACATACATGTACATACTTTTACACTTCCGGTACTTGCGTACAAGGAGCAGCCATTTTTTTGTGCAGTTTTAGTTCAATTTTCATGAAAATCGTACTCAACCCCGATTAGAGTGTCCACAAGTTAAAAACACAATTTAAAATACAACCATATATGTATCAGGGACATCTGGGAAGACACAGTCCGATATGCACATTTTTATATTGCTATTTCAATACCGTAATGAAAATTTCAAATATCAGCCAACCCTAGTGAAAAATTACTTAGATGTATTTGCTATTCAGTCAAGAGGGGGGAGAGAGAGAGAGAGAAAGAGAGAGAGAGAGAGAGAGAGAGAAAAAATGGGGTTTTAACATCCACCCAACACAAGCTAGGTCATTTCGGGACCACCATACAGATCAATTTTATTTCAATAATTCATTTGCGCGTAGGGGTCTTTAGCAGTGGGTGGTAACCGGAGGACCTGGAGAAAACTCACAAGGTTGGACATTGTCACGTACAACTGGAGAATCGAAACCACGCCAGTTGACTCACTCAAGAGTAAAGTCCAGTTTGATTAGCACTTTTTGTTAAAAACATCAAGATTGCTAATCAATCATTAGCATATTCGACCTGACTCTATCCAAACAAAATGTTAATTGTATGGACCTTGCTAATTGACCATAAACAAAAATACATCTCGTCCAAATCAATCAATATTTTACTTCAGGCCCTATTTTATGTTGACCCTACAAAGAGATTTTGCTTGTTTACATTACCTTGTATTGGAACCTACATGTACCTGTAGGTCAAATGGGTCAAGCAAGAGGCACCTTAAAGCGATTAATTTCATATTTTCTAAGAAAGTCAAAACATAGGCTAATTATTTCTATGTCTTTTGCTCAGTAGGTTGTCAACTCACAATTATACGATCATAGGTATTATTCTCCCACTTAAAAATCCTTTGACCCCAGAAATAATAACACAATTACCTCCCTTGTTTTTCTATTCCACCCATGAAATAGCTATCTTCAAACATTTGAATTTGAAGTTGAAAATATTTTTGCCAATTTCTCAACTGGCAATAGTGAATTATAGGATTAATAGGATTATTCTTTAACAATGTAGGACTGTTTATAGATACATGTACCATCTATTTTAAGGCTTTATTTTAATAAATTTTAAATATAACTTAAAAATAGGAAATTGCAACTTTAAACTGATTTCATTCATTTTTAAATATTCTACGGTTTAATTCATAATCAGTTTTGTTTGTCAAAATACACAAGCATTTACTCACACCTACATGTTAGTCCAGTTTATTTTACGTTCTCTGTCGTTTAGCCTCATTCATCAATGCGCCTTTGCCGCCTTTACAAATCGTTTCTGAGAGCATAGACCAGCATGTACTGGTTTTAAAAGTGTTCACTGTGTTTTAAATAGTTGTTATATTTGATATCAGGAGACAGGAAGCCATACATGTATTTTCACTGTAAGATTAACATTACTGTTGACTTGATTGGGATCTACTTAAGAGTTGGCCTTTGGGGTAGAGCTTATATTCCCTTTATATATGCCCTTTAAAGGAGCTAAATCCCTATTCTTTGGCACCTAGAAATGGACACCAATGGGTCGCAACTATGAATGCATATAAACTGATTTACATTCAGTTATGTTAGATGAAATATGCGAAGAAGATACCAAACTGAATGGCAGTCTTTGACATCTGGTTGTTCCAGTCTACACAGGTAGTATTCTGTGGGGTATAACTGAATAAATCTGGTATGCAATTTTGAAGACTGTGCAGGATATTGTGTTAAGACTTAGAGACTTGCCTCCTTTAGTTTAAAAGTCTCAACTCATCTTTTACTTTTAACTGATATTTCTACAGCTTGTTTATGTACTTTTTGACAATTTGTGTTATTATTTTTGATGTTTGGTGTTTTGTTAAGGGCATAAGTCATTTATTATAACTCAATAACAACTGTTTTACATGTATTTAGGTGTAGGAGGAGGAGGAACAAGGATAGGCTTAGGATAGGCCTAAAAATCCTGAGGAGATTTTGCCCCACGTCACAGCAAAGCAACAACAGCTTGCAGCAGGAAAATAATTACTGTGAAACCGGAGAGCATTAAAATGGAACAGGGATAAAGTCGGGGGTATTCCCTGTTAGATCCTCATAGCAACCAATCCCCCTAAAAATAGACACCATCGTCTGAACGCCCGTCCTCTAATCTGACCTTCACCCTGAATGATTTGACAGCGCAATATTTGTTGTCAAATAAGCCATTACGTCCGTTCTGAAACACTTCAGTTTCAACAAATATCGAATTGATGACGTTTCTTTTAAAACACAAGTGGTCTAACAGCCCTCCATTATCAGCAAATAGGTGAAATTCCTAACAAAAGAACCCAAACATACGGATCACGCGTGACGTAGCTGTTCACTGACTGAAATGACTCGCGCAGTTTTCATTCATAAAGAATTTCATAACATTCCCTTTTCAACTTACCAACATCAACGCTCCAAATTCTTCCCCCCGTTCGATTTGAGGCCTCGAGAATTTTAAAATCCGTTAGCCCCTTTCTAGCTAAATACTCCCCGGCAGCTATCCCTGCTATTCCAGCGCCGATTATAATAACTTTCGGCTTATTTGTCCATGAAACACTCTCGTCAACTGTGCCGTTCAAATCTTCCATCTTGATCGACTCAGCTGTTCGGAGCGACGAATGTAAAAAAATAATCACAGATTTTCGGTAAAGAACTACACAAAAACTACAAAACTAAATACGTCAAAGTGTACATAGATAATCCCCACTTATAAGTTCCATGAATTGAGAATTAATAGATTTGTTTTGTGATAAATAGAGCCAACACATTATTGCTCTTACTCCTCGCAAAGTCTATGTGGTCACTGACAGAGCCTCACTTGCATCAAGACACACTCGTGGTATGACGTCACTAGACTGACTCGGCGCCCAATCTTCGGCCTAGTTTCAAACAACCTCTACAATTTCCTGAAATTTTCTCCTTCAGATAAATCCGTTTGCGAAATATCCTGGTCGGTGAAGAAGAAGGAATTTCAATTTCAACATCTGGAGAAAAGAATCAGTCTTGTTTGATCACAAAAGATGCCGCGAGGGTAAAGTTCATAGGTTCATCGGTCAAAAGTTCGCAAGTCGCGATTAACAAGACTCTTATAGTTATTTTGCATAGTATAAAGAAGGGACTTGATAAACCTGACTGAAAAGTTCGTCTGCTTTTCCAGCCAGTCAGTGTTTGTAAAAGACGTGACGTTTACACGAACACAAATGAAAACAATGGGTTTGTTTTGGTAATGCCAACGCGAATGCAGCCGACCAATAGTTGAGCGAAGAAAAACGGTTGGTGAACAGTAAACCCACAAAATAAAATCCATATTTATAGCCGATAGAGCAACAGGCAAGTATTATCTGCTTGGATTTACTTAGTTAAACTGAAAATAGATTTTCTAGAAAATTGAGTGAATCACAATATGTATGCCTACCCAATGACGCACTGTGAATGATAACGAATGCTAAAATGAGTAAGGAATAAGGAAAGGATGAAGAGTTTATTATAATAATTATGATTCATATTATACTGGCTATACTGCATAGCATTAATTAAAGATGAAAGGTGTCATAATATAATATAATCGTTCTGCATAGCACCACCTGGGCAAAATCACCTCTCCCTTTAAATAATAGGTTATGTACTATGTAGGCCTACGTGTAATAATTAAATACAAATAACCGTTCTGAATAGCACCGCCTGGGCAAAATCCCCCCCCCCCCTTTAAATAATAGGTTATGTAGGCCTACAGACTTAGCACACGTACATATATTGGCCTACTAATCCCTAATGCCCTAATAGCTAATACCGGTAGGCTACTATAACTTAGACCATTGGTTGCCGGCCTTTTGTTGGTTTCGACCCCATTCCAGAAACCATCGTCTGCTCGCGACCCCCCGAAGAACAATTTCACCCTTTACTATGAAACATCATCATTATTTACAAATCAATATTTTGTAATTAGAGACTGGGAAACAAATCGTGGTCGGGAGAAAGGAAAGACGGTTTGCAATGTCACGTGGCAAGAGGTGTATAGATCAGAGATTTATATACTTTTCAAATTTCATGAAAACATAGCATTTTTTTCAAAACTTTATTAAACACTGTTGCATTTAATGGTCCTTCATTTGAATTTTTTGTGAAATTTGTAGATGATCAAATGCAAAGCCCATTTTGGAGGTATTCCTAACGAAGAAGGCTTTGCCCCTATTTTGATAAAATTTATTATTTGTTTAATTACAGCGAGAAAATACTTTAAATTGTTGTAGATATGATTCATATTATGAAAATAGTTATGTGTTTATTCTGTGGTATTCCCGTTACACCCCCCCCCCCTCCCCAAAAGAAAAACAACAACAAACAAACAACTAAACAACTAGGCCTACTAGCTAGCCTACGCGATACATTTAACAGTCAGATTGGGTTAGACTTTAAGCAGAAACCCTGTCAAACATAGCTCTTCAATTAACATTAATTAACCCGCAACATGTACAGGGTGGACCTCTGAATGTGATACGAGTTTTTCCAATTTGCTCTATTCGACCGAACACAACCTGTACTTGACCGAAGACCCTGTTAAAAGCATGTCTAGGAAATGAACAAGTAGCCATTAATTTGTCTGGTTTTGTGTGTGAAATAGCTTTATTTAACGTCCGCTTCCACCGAGGTGATGTCTGGGTCTATATAACGTCTTGTGTCAATGTATCACTGATTGTTACACTGATTCTCAGACGTGACTATGACGAGTCTGAGGCCGCCAATATGTTTTGCACTCGTGGACGGTTTGGTACATTTTTTTTTATCCCGGTTGGTGCAGAAAAAGTAAAACGTTAAATCCGGTCAGCTCTAAATATTAAGGCCACCTGCAGGTTTCGTCATGGTCGCGAACTGTAAATAGGGTTACGTGATTGTTGCCGAGATTGTGGGTTAGAGTTAGGGTAAGGGTTAGGGGTAGGTCTAGGTCAGTGTTAGCGCTAGCCCTAGCCCGGTTTACATCTCTTGACCTTTGACCAAATCTGCAGTTGGTCTTAATATTTAGATCTAACCGTTAAACTCCATTTCATTTTGGTATTGGGGATCACGGTAGCTAAGTGGGTAAGACGCTGGTGTATAGCCTGGAGGTCGGGTGTACGATCCCTGCATTGGCCGAGAAAGTTCATCCATATTTTCCGGCGTGGTTCCCCCTTGTCAGTGAAGCAGGTCGGAGGGCCTGACAGGGACAGCTGTCTAGTCGTTCGGATGGTACGGAAACCCGAGGTCCCGTGTACACATTGACAGTTGGAATTCGATATAAGAGTAGGCGGTAGTGCCGCTGTCCGGGCAAAATTTCCCTCACAGCACACTGTATGGCGTATGCCCGTCTTCATTAGCCCAGTGCGGAGCAGAACAGTAGGACGTTAAACCCCATTTCATTTCATTTTGGTATTCAAATCAGTCCTCACATGGAACACGTAAGTTACAACTCTTTAATAATGAATTATTTTATTCCGAACATAATAAAGATTTAATTTTAATATTTTCTAACGGAGTGACACCACCATCACAACGACATCTCATTTTGCGGTTCCCTTTAAATTTTAATCTCTTCAAGTGCCTGTGACATTTTGCGGAAACGTGCCAATTCTGTCTCACTGAAGTTCTTTACCGGGAATTTAGCTAGCTGATGAATCAAAACAATTCCCAATTAATTTCCTTTTCAAATGCTTCAATACCATTCATTAGCATAACATCCTCAATAACTTATATTCAAGGAAACTGTGGAGTTGATGGCCTGTGACATCGAGTGGACGTTAAACCCCATCTCTCTCTCTCTCTCTCTCTCTCTCTCTCTTTCTCTCTCTCTCTCTCAACGAAACTGATTGGTGGTATATGGTTTAAGCTTACTAAATCAACTCTCCATTATCCCTTCATCTCCCAGCATTCCTTTTGTCTTATACTTAGTTTATAGGCTAATAATACTAGTCACCTTTATTTAAGGAATTTATTATCTGTTGGGTCTGTACCAAAATAAATCAAATAGTTTGGTTCATTTGAGAGAGGTAGGCATAATAAGTAGTTCGAGAACGTTCCCCGGGAGAGAGAATGGGGTTTTACTTCCCCTCGACACAAACGAGGTAATTTTGGGACTAATACATGGTACAATTTTATTGCAATACTTCGCTTGCACGCAGGGGTATTCGGCAATTGGAGGAAACCGGCGGACGTGAGAAAATCCATGAGTCCGGACATGCGATTCTACGCCATATCACGTATAAACTGGGAATCGAAACCACGCAACTTGACTCAATGACCGATCTAACCTTGTGAACTAAACCCCGCGCGTTAAACCAATTCCCCCCCCCCCCCGGCCCATCCCTCCTAAAAACAAACAAACTTAAATCAACCAAATATTTATTATGGTGAATGAATACATGTTTATAATATATATCGCTGGGATATACAAATTCACACACTCGCATACTATATAGTGGTAAAAACATAATTGCTAAATGTGTTGTATACAGGATGCTCGTTTATTAAATCGTATCGTCTGTACGACCAAGCACATGTTTAATCATAATTACAACATTTACACGTGTTTATAAATATTAACATTTACTGGCTAGAATATAAAAGTGCAGTGTGAAGTGTGCTATTATAATCTAACCAGACAGAAATGAAATGGGTTGAATATCCTATATATACTCTCTGCACCAACGCGGCTAATAACATTTTTAAAGCCTTGCTCACAAACCGTCGTATGACTTAGAGTTTGGCAGCTCGCAGACCAGCCGCAAAGAAATCGGGCGAACATTTTGTATGTGCGGGACCAAAAGTCTCTAGGGCCAATTTCCGATCTTCTACGGTGCCGAACACACGCAAGTGACGGGTTTACTAAAAATGTTCCCCGCAGAGTAGCACATACAGCGAGTTGTGAACCTACAGACGTCCTTGTGCCGTACGATGTAGGAGCTACGGTGGATAAGTAGGTAAGACGGGCTCGCTAACCCGGAGGTCGCGAGTTCTTTGGGATTTTCCGACGTGGTTGCTTCATGTCAATGGTTCAGGACCGAGGGCCTGGCAAGGAACAACGTTTAATCGTTCGGATGGGACGAAAAACCCGGACCCCGTCTACAGTACACATTCACGTGCACGTAAAATATTCCTCGATAGTTTAAATTCGATATAAGGGTCGGCTGTATAGCGCCGCTGTCCGGACAAAATTTCCCTCATAGCTCACTGTATGAATGGCATATACCCGTCTTCATTAGCCCAGTCTCATCACAACAGCAGGACGTTAAACCCTATTACATTTAATTCCCGTACGATGTGATATAAAAGTAATTTGACCGATACACCGGTGTTTTCTCATAATCTCCAACCAATTCCAAATCCCAGAGGTTCTTTTTATGCACACTGGCGTATAAACGTTCCAATCTGAACGCGGTTCCTTGCCATGTTACACCACTGAGGAAAGGGAAACTACTTTGAGGAACTGCATCGTGCATGGCATCTGTCACAAGTACCGTTCTCCATAAGCTATGCTCTTGTGTGCGTGCTAAACACATTTCTATACGAGCACACAAAGGAAATGAATGTACGTACAAATTTTATAGTAACCTACCAAAATTTTCAGTGATTTTGATATTAATAAACTGTTTACAGCTACTTTGATATAATAACAACTTCCTGTTACTTGATGTTGTAATTTATTTAATTCAACATGGCATTGATGATTTTAAGGTGTAACCCGACAAGAGAGAGAGAGAGAGATATGGGGTTTAACGTCCACTCGACACAAACTAGGTCATTTCGGGACTAACATATGGTTTAACTTTATTTACATAATTCGCTTGCGCGTAGGGGTCTTTAGCAGTGGGAGGAAACCGGAGGCCCCGGAGAAAACCCACGAGGTTGGACAGGCGACCCTACTCCTTGCCACGTACAACCGGGGATTCGAAACCACGCCAGTCGACTCAATGACAGACTTTATGATACAGCGCGCGCACGCTAACCATTCAGCCAT